CCTTTCCCAAGGTGATCTTAAAAACACTTGGAAAACCATTAACATGGTTCTCAATAAGAAATCAAAAACGGCTCAAATTCAGTCACTTGATGTTGATGGTAAGCATGTTACCGATAATAATGCTGTTGCTCAGACAATGAATGATTTCTTTTGTGATATTGGCAAATCTCTTAGTGACAAAATTCCACAGAAAGCCAACCCCCTTGTTGAAGATAAGCTGGAAGTGAACCCTGAAAATTTACAGTTTAAATTACAAGCCTTTGATGTTCCTCAGATAAAAAAGGTTTTTGGCAAATTCAAAACGTCCAAGGGTTTCGGTCCTGATGGCATTGCTAACCATTTCCTAAAGATCGCATTCTCTGTCATTGCAGAATCTCTCTGTGACATTTTTAACCTCTCAATTGCCACTGGAGTTTTTCCTGAAAATTGGAAAACTGCAAGGGTTGCCCCAATCTTTAAAAGTGGAGAAAAAAACAATCGTTCCAATTATAGACCGATTTCTGTGCTCCCATTTCTGGCAAGACTCTTTGAGAAATTGATTTACAACCAATTATATGATTATCTAGACAAAAATAAACTTCTGTATTCTGGCCAATCAGGTTTTAGAGCTCTGCATTCCACTGTAACTTGCTTGCTTTCTGGCACTAATGACTGGCACATTAATATTGAGCGTGGAAAATTTACAGGAAATATTTTCATTGATTTGAAAAAGGCTTTTGATACTGTTGATCATGCCATACTTATTCAAAAGCTATCTAAGTACGGAATTCAGGGTCTTGAGCTTCAATGGTTCAAATCATATCTTAGCAGTAGGCAGCAATTCACTAAGGTTAATGGAGTGCAATCTGACATCGGAAGCATCAACTGTGGTGTCCCACAAGGTTCTTGTTTAGGTCCACTACTCTTCCTAATCTATATAAATGATCTGCCATTCGCCTTGAAAAACTGCAAAGTTACGATGTACGCCGACGATACTAGCATATCCTATTCCTCTAAGAGCATTGAGGATCTAACTGAAACGCTCAACAACGAATTGAAATGTTTGAAAGAATGGCTTCAGGGCAATAAATTGTCTTTGAATGTAACCAAGACTCAGGCAATGGTAATTGGATCTAGACCAAATCTGAAAAAGATTGGTGAAAACACTGTGGGTTCACCTGCATTCGTTATCGATGATTCCCCTGTAGAAATTGTCGACAGTATTAAGTATCTTGGTGTCCAAGTTGACCAATACCTCGTGTGGGACGAGCAAATTAAATCTGTTCAAGCCAAAGTCTCCCGCTCGTTAGGTTTTTTAAAATATGCAAAGAAATTTTTGCCAAAAAATGTACTTTGCAAATTATATAGAGGTATTGTAGAGCCACATTTTCGGTACTGCTGTACTGTGTGGGGGAGCTGTGCAGAGTTCCGACTGGTTAAGCTTCAAAAATTGCAGAATCGAGCCGCTAGAATTATTACAAATAGCAGCTACGATGCTCCTGCTGAAGCTTTGATTACAGAGTTAAGATGGCCAACTGTAAGGGATATGATCAGAAGTGAGACTGCAACAACTGTATATAAATCTGTTAATGGTCTCGCGCCTGATTATCTCTCGAATTTATTTGTTAGAAATTCTGAACGCAATTGTATCAACCTTAGAAATGCCGAAACTGACTTGCTAGTGCCATTCATGAAAACTAGTAATGGACAGAAGCGTTCGCATTTCGTGGAGCAAAAATCTGGAATGATCTCAGCCGCGAGGCCAAGCAAGCTCCCTCTTTATCTTCTTTTAAGAACAGGATAAAGGGTTTTTTGTAAATTTATTGCAAATAGTTGTAAATAAATTATTTATGATTGTAATTAGTTTCCTTTTTTTGTTATTAATTTTAGTAGATTTTTTAATTTGTAATGTTTTTGGCACGGCCCCCTGAAAATCAGTCATGACTGACGGGGCTACCGTGCATAAATAATTTTAAAATGAAAAAAAATGAAAAAGACCTTCCTTGGTATCCTAAGACCACACACAGTTATTGTTATTACATTCGGTAGTGTAATACGTGCCGAGATACACGGCGGCATGTAGAGTTTTAATTATAATGTTGATTTTATATTTGATTTAAAGCAGTAGTAAATAACATGTCTTGAATCTCAATACCTAATAAGGACAAACGTATGGAAAATATCAATCGACAAGTCTCAGTGAACGTGATTATCTAAGTTGAAACTCGTAATAAGTTAGTTAGTTGGTTGGAGTAGAGTTGAAGTAATGATGGTGATCGGCGAAAATGTGAAACAGAATATTGATGGATTTGATACAAAATAGTTACACAAAATGGTGATATTTCTCTGAGTCTTCATCTTACACTTCGTTTATCATTAAATATTAAGATAGGGGCACCGCTAGAAATAGTGGTCCCAACATAGTTGGAGGCACCGCACGGATACACGGATCTACGGATACACGGATCAACGGATACACGGATCTACGGATACACGGATCTACGGATACACGGATCTATGGATACACGGATCTACGGATACACGGATCTACGGATACACGGATCTACGGATACACGGATCGAATGATGGCGAGGGAAACAGATGGAGATGTAGTGCGTGAAATGGCCGCGGAAATTAGGCAAGAGTTGAAGAAACTTCGGAAAGCTAGAGGAGCTCACAGAGCTTATGTTACAAGAACGATCGCCATAGCCATGGAACGAGTAAAGAATTTTCGGACAGGAGATAAAAAAGAGCTTCTGAAATACAAGGGTGTCCTGACGGATAAGAAGATGGTCTTGCAGAAAATGGATGAAAAAGTGTTGGAAATTTTGAGTGACCAGAGTGATGGGGACGAATGTATTCAAGAAGTAGAGGAATCTGAGGCAATTGCAATGGAAATATCGGAGGTGCTTTTAGAGATCAAAGAAATCTTGGAAAAGGACACCGCCCTACAGCATGCACCCGTGGAAAACACCTCATTCTCTGGGAGCAGTTCGACAAGGAAGGCAAGAGCAAAGTTACCCAAACTGGAGCTGCAAACTTTTGACGGAACGCCACAAGATTGGCCTGAGTTTTGGGATGCGTTTAGCAGTACAGTGGACGATGATGAGGACCTTCCGGACGCGGTGAAGTTTCAATATTTGAAGAAGTCATTGTTGGAGCCAGCGAAGTCGGTAATTTCGGGATTCAAAATGACAGCGTCAAACTACAGAGCCGCGGTGGAGCTGTTACATCAACGCTTTGCGAAACCGACAGTGATCAAAAGAGCCCATATCAACGAGATGCTCAAAATCAACAGCGTGTATGACGAAAGGCGGGTTGACAGGATGCGATCTCTGCACGACAGCGTTGAAACGCACTTTCGCGGGTTGGAAGCTCTGCATGTCAACGAAGAGACATATGCAAGCATTGTTGTGCCAGTTCTGCTGGAAAAGATCCCCCAGGCCGTTCGTTTGAACATGGTGAGAGCATCCAGCAAAGATCATTTGGAGTGGTCTGTGAGAGATTTTTTGGAAAGTTTGAGCAAGGAAATTGAAGTTAGGGAAGTACAAGCGCCGATTTTTGGAACAGGGGGCACGGAACGGAGAGGCTACGCCCCACGGAGAATGGCGGACAGGATAATCGATGGTACGGCAACGGCATTGCACACTTGGAGAGCGGACAGCCAGAAACGATGCGCCTTTTGCCAAGAAAATCACGAAGAAGAACGTTGTTCTAAAATTACAAACTTGGACACGCGTAAGAGCATTATTAGAAAGTATGGTCGTTGTTTTGTTTGCATTAGGAAAGGGCATAAGGCTGTAGATTGTAGATCAAAGATTATGTGTAAGAAATGCAACGGTAAACATCACATATCTTTGTGTTATTATTCCAAGGATTTAACCGTAAGTAAGAATCCTAGCCCTTTAAGACCCTCAGCTCCTCCTTTTGTAGGAACCTCTACAGGTAGCACTAACGTAGCATCGTGCACCAATAGTTTAGGCCCTGGTAGTTCTGCAGCATTGCAAACCGCCCTAGCTGTTGTTAATGGGAACGATAAGGTTAAGGTGCGCGTACTTTTTGATAGTGGGAGTCAGAAGACCTTTGTAACCCCCACTGTAGTGGAGAGAGCCAAGCTACAAGTTGTGAGGAAGGAGAATTTAGGGATTAAAGCCTTTGGAAGTGAGACGGCAGAGAGGAAACTGCGAGATGTTGTAGAGCTGGATTTGAGGGCTGTGAGAGGTGGTAAAAGAGTGAAAGTAGAAGCGTATGTTGTCGAGAAGATTTCAGAAATATCTAATTGCCATGTTGAGATTGTTAAAAGTAAATATAAACATTTAGCGGATATCGAGTTTTCTGATGTTTCTGATGAGATTAGTTTACAGGTCGACGTGTAAGTAGGAGCAAATTTCCTCTGGGAATTTCAAGGCAAACAGACGATACGAGGGGAGAAAAACGAGCCAGTCGCAGTCGAGACTACGTTAGGATGGGTGCTCTCGGGACCGTTGAATGGTGAGTCTTTACTTTACGATTTAAACAATGTTAATGCTACGTATGTCGAAGCAAACTTGGAGAGCAAAGTAGAACAATTTTGGGATTTAGATACAGTCGGTGTTAGAGAAGATAAGGACATTTATACTGAATTTATCGATGATATATCTTATAACGGTAAAAGATATTCCGTAGGTTTACCTTGGAAAATAGGCCACAAGCAGTTACCGCCCAATTTTAATGCTAGTTTTACACGGTTGAAGTCTCAAATAAGGAAACTTAAGAACACGCCCACCTTGCTAAATGAGTGTAATAAAATAATTGAGGAACAAGAAGATCTTGGTATTGTCGAGAAAGTTACGGAATTAGAGGGGGCCGAAAAGGTTTATTACATGCCTAGCCAAGTTGTCGTAAGGGAGAATGCGGAAACCACTAAAGTACGCATGGTTTTCGATGCCTCTTCTAAGGAAGGGAAAAGCGGTACTTCGTTAAACGATTGTTTACATGTTGGACCTAATTTAACACCATTGTTATTTGACATACTTGTTCGGTTTAGAGAGAATAACATCGCACTTGTAGGTGATATCGAGAAGGCATTCTTAAATGTAGGTGCTCATGCTACCGACAGGGATTGTTTGCGTTTTTTATGGGTCGAAAATCCTCATGAAAACGATTTGAAACTTGTTGTTTATCGATTTGCGCGCGTTGTTTTTGGAGTTAATGCATCGCCTTTTTTGTTGAACGCGGTTATTAGGAATCACGTAACTAAGTTTCAAGATATAGACCCGGAATTTGTTAAGAAGATGTTAAATTCTTTCTTCGTTGATGATTTATGTACGGGGGCTAAGACAGTCCAAGAAGCAATTTCGTTGTTTGATAAATCTAAGACTAGGATGCTAGAAGGAGGATTTAATTTACGGAAATGGAAGTCAAATAATGGGGAAGTAAGGGAGTACGTATCACGATGTGAAGGTAAATCGAAAGGTTTAGCAAGTGCCACTGTAAACAGTAATGACGAGGAAACTTATGCGCAGGAAAAGTTAAATATTGTCGATGGACAAGGTAAAACCAAGGTTTTAGGCTTAGTCTGGGAGGAAGAAACGGATAATTTGGAGATTGTTCTGGATAGTATAGGTAGTATAAGAGGGGAGAGGGACTGTGTAACGAAAAGATCAGTTTTAAGCTCGCTAGCTAAGTTGTTTGACCCGTTAGGACTAGTTAGTCCCGTCTCAACGATAGCTAAATCATTTTTCCAGGAATTGTGCGTGGATAAGATAGGATGGGATGAGGAGTTACCTCCAGAAAAAAGGGATAAATGGGAAAGATGGGAAAAGGATTTGAAACAGGTGAAATCTATTTCAGTGCCCAGGGGTATACACCCATATAACGAAGAAACGGGTAAATATTCCTTACACGGGTTTGAAGATGCCAGCGCTAAGGCATATTGTGCTGTAATTTATCTTGTGTGCGAGACAGGAAGCGGAATTTATTCTAGACTTGGTTGTTCTAAAACTCGTATCGCCCCACTCAAGGGTCTCTCAATACCACGCTTGGAACTTATGTCGGCCAGGATTTTAGCAAATTTGATGGAAAACGTTAGAAATGCACTAAGTTTTCAGGTTGAAATAACATCGTTTAAGTATTGGTTGGACAGCGAAACAGCTTTATTTTGGTTAAATAATGCTGGGGAGTGGAAGCAATTCGTTAGACAAAGGGTAAACGAGATTCTAGCTAAGACTGATAAGAATAATTGGGGACATTGCCCAGGGAAAGAGAACCCAGCGGATATAGGAAGTAGGGGGCTGCAAGCAAGTAAATTAAAGAACAACATTACGTGGTGGGAAGGTCCCGCATGGCTTAAACAAGGTATAGATTATTGGCCTAAGAGGAAGTACCTAGAGAGAACGGAAAATGTAGATCTAGAGAGTAAGAAACAGGCTGTAGTACTAAGTGGGGCAGAGGAGAATAAACCTTTTATAGGTTCTGTAGTGGACATAAATAGGTTCAGTAATATGAATAAGTTGCTTCGTACCACGGCACGGATTTTCAGGTTTATAGGAAACGTTAAGGCTAAAGTAGCTGGGAAGGAGATAAACACTAACGAAATAACTGTAGAAGAAATAGAAAGAGCCGAGCAATTATGGATTATGGATGCCCAGTCTACTGTTAGTGAAAAGAATGATGCGTGTTTGTTACGGAATTTGGGAGTATTTAAGGATAATGGTATTTTAAGGTGTAAGGGGAGACTAGAAAATTCGGAGCTCGATCCTGGGACTAAATTTCCTATTTTGATTCCAGGGAACCATCTATTTGCGAACCTTATAGTATTGCATTGTCAC